GGCCCCTTTAAATTTTCCGGTTCCCCGGGGAAAAAAAAAAAAAAGAAAAATGGTGGGGTTTTTTTTTTTTTTTTTTTTTTTTTGACAGAACCACAACAAAGTCGGTATTGTATAGCCAGCGGCTTCATCTCCTGCCACCTCGGATTATAGTGAGCGGTTTCACTTCTTTGCCGGCACACCATCCGTGTAGTCCTCCAGAACTCCTGCCAGATGGTTGTTATGGGTTTTGAATTGTCTCTTCCTCTGACCACTTTGCTTCTTTCTCTTTTGAACTGGCATCTGCAGGGAAGCCAGAATCCAAAGTTAAACAGGATGGTTGTTCTAGTACAGAATAAGCATGACTACAAATATATTTTTTTCTTGTCTCTAAAAGGAGGTTTTATACAAACTTGCTGAAATAAATAAATATGAGACAAAAGAAACTGACCACTTTCTTTGGTCCAGTCTCTTGCATGGAAGAGATGCCCTGTTTTTTCAAGTACTCTTCGATTTTCTCTTCATCTATGGAGTCCACTGGCACACTCCTCCACAGCTTCTGAAATTCTTCAGTGCAAAGTGAGGAACAACAAAAATAAAATGTGTGAAGTCAAAGTCTGCTGGTTCAGAGGCGAACTTATAATAATAAAAAAAAAAAATATCACCTTCATCTACTACAAACTGGCAATGCTTGTCGTTGTAGAACAAGATCTTTTTCTTGTCTGGTCTCGTTACAAATACAATCTGATCCCCCAAAGCCTGTGGAAGACAATTTAGTTTTTAGCACCCTGCGGAACTATTTATGCCTCTTGACCTTAGACACATTTTCTGGTTTAGTGTGTTTCTTGGTCTTCATGATGCTACTACTTCACACACACAGTTTCTAACAAACCCCTTGTGCCTTCACAGAACATCTGCATTTATTTGGTTGGAACGTGACAAAATAGGAAGAGGCCTAAAAACTTTTGGAAGTCACCATTTGTAGTAGTCATGTTAATTATTATCTTCTCTCATATAATTGACTTTAAATTACCTTGATAGCCTTAGCAGAATTAGGGAGTCCCTCTTCCACATCGTCCAGCAGCACTCCCCCCAGCCCCAGCTGGTCGTGTTTGTCCAGCAGCCTCAATAAAGCTTTCTTGTCCTTTAGGTTGTATTTGGGCTTAAAGCCATACGTTCCGTCACGAACCTCAATTTTTGGGTTGTTGACCAAGGCCTGAAATTTGGGACAAAGACGTACTAGATTACATGTAAAGCTGTTGTCATTTTACTCAACATTTATTCAAAACAAAGTTGCAAAAATCATGAACTGGAAAGGTATTAGATCATGAGTCTATTAAAAAAAATGATAACTTTGGACACCTTGGATGGCCTGAATATCCATATCCTTAAAAAATAAAAGTATAGAACATTGGAAGCAAGCGACTTGTAAAGGTTTAGAATTTCTACACAGTTTTGTATGACGTAAAGAATCAGTTTTAAACGTAGGATAAAGTTTATGAGAAATGTTTGAGGAAAGAACCAATTCCTCTTGAGGTGACAAAGAGCTGCGTTGACCCTGAACATGACAGAAACACACCTCAGTCATTAGCCATTGTTTCTGTTTCAGACTGATGTCAAGAAGTTTGGTCTCATCCAGTATCTCATCAAGGGTCAGGAAGTGGGTGTCGCCATTCTGATGCCTCGTCTGTAAACAGGACAAAGATCAGGCAAAGTTAAAACAACATGTAGGAGAAACACCTGCTAACACAAAAATATTTCACAGTATTTATTTTACTTTTTTGAAATATTTTCATTGCAAACTATTGACAGATTCAGCAATGTCGTCTGCAAGTTGGCAGCTAAAATGTCAGGGTGCTTTGCAGCTTTTAAAACTCGGATCAACAGATGGCACAAAAGTACAAGCATTAAAAAGAAATCTGTCGAGTGATATACGAGTTCAGCAAAAAAAAAAAAAAAAGATGAGTCACAGCGCAGACAGAAGATCGCTGCCTTTCTGCAGAGCCGCAGAATGATAAACAAGCTGTTTATGTACCCAAAGAAAGACTCGAGAGCAAATGTTACACAGTGGACAAGTCTGAATCACCCCCGAAAAATAGACTTTTTTATGAAACTGTGATGGAGATGACTGGATAATAAAAAATTAATGGTGGTGTGGAAAGTGTTGAGCCAGCCTGACTCTGATCTCAACACTTTTCATGTAATTAGGAATGACATAATAACATTTGACACAAAAACATTCAAATCTACACAAAGCCTACAAATGCTCTCTTTAAACATAAGCTTACCTTCATGTAGTTGACAATCTTGGCCAGGCAGCCAAACTTGTACCCAGCGCTTGCCTTGCTGTTAATGCTTCCATTTGCAGATTCTGTGGAATACAGAAAAAAACAAAAACAGAAAAACAAAAAAAAAAAAACAGAAACCATTATATAATAAGCATAGTCGATATAATGCACAAAGTATGTGTGAAATGTTTCTTATAGTGAAAAAGTTTTAAAAATCAAATCAATGCAGTGCTTTTTTCCAAAATGTAATGAAATGTGGGTTGATTCAGTTAAATTGTATATATATATATATTTATATTCTGCTATAAATAAAAAAAGCTAAGTGTAGGTGAAGTGTTGCAGCTTTCTGAAACTCTGTGTTGCAACAAATAAAAATTTAGAAACACATTTTTCATTTTGCGTCACATCAAAGTCATGAATGTCCGCAGTGACATTAACAGACATAAAATATTATAACTTTCTCTACATTTGATTAGCAATTCTTAAAATTTTTATGATATTTAACATCTTTTCACATTGATGTCATTTGTACCTATCCAAACACAAAATTATTTAATTTGACCTATAAAATAATATTTCAGGAGGTTCACAGAAATAGCTAATGTGAGGTGGATTTTGGCCCAGGCGCCTTTGGAAAAATAACAGAAAAATTAGAAATTGGGGGGAAATGTATATAAATTAAATACATTTTATTTTTCACATGCAATATAAGTGTGTTTCCAAACTTAATGATTAAATATTAATATTAACGTAATTGTGGCTGAGCAGTCTCGGCAGTCAAACTAAAAACTTAATGTATTTACAAGGCTCTGCCTGAAAATATGAATAGGATTAATTTTTGGGTACAATTTGGATATCATTTTCTAAGGGATCCAGGAGTGAAAAAGATCTAATTGGAACTGCAAGTACTTCAATAAAATGGGTCTAATATCTGCTATGGTCCAGTCATAACACCCTTCACTACCTCCCTGAAGTGAGCCCTGACCAATCACGGTTCAAAACAGACACCGATTCATAAATGACTCACGGTGTGGGAAGGAGCCTCTGTGGCTGTTAGCTGAACGGTGGGCAGAACGGCAAATTTCTGACAGTTCCGCTAGCGAATGGTGTGGGAGCAGGGGCAGAGGGAAAGAGCCAATGACGGGGAGAAGCCTGATCTGTTCAGGAGATGCATGAAGAGCTGCAAGGAGTGGCGGAGGAGGAGAGCGGGTGCACGAGCAAAGGCTGAAAGTGCATGAGTGTGCCGAGGAGAGCAGGTTGATGTGTGAGTGTGAGCGAGGGGAAGATCCAAGAGACAGGGGGAGAACTGAAAACAAGGGAGCTCATCTTTTATCCAGCATCTTTAAGAGGCTGAGCCAGACACGGAGGTGAGTTGGTGTATATATTTTTTCCAGATAAAGTGTAGTCTGAATCATGTTTGACATGAACCGATCCCAACAACCCACTGCCTGACCTGAAAACAAAAACTGTTGTTGGTTTTAATTTTAGGACTAGTGCTAGGTGTTTTTGTTTTTTTTAAGCTGCTGAATCACAAACGTTAAAATGCAAAAAATTCATATTTACAAATCAAATCTATTTCGCTTAATGTTCTTTAAAGCTGCAGCATTCCTAAATAACAGCAATGAAAAAATTACATTTAAAACCTTTAGCCGTCAGATGCAATAGTAAGGCCAAAATTGCTTACACACACACTCACACACACACACAGACAGAGGATTAAATAAACATGAACCAGTCTGCACTCTTCTCTGGTTGAATAACAAGCACCAGAATATCCGTTTTTGTGCGTCTGCGCAGGCGTTCATGAGCGTCATGTCTGCGTTTGTCAGAACACACAGCTCTGAGGAAACTGCTGCTGTCACGACAAACCAGTGAGGGGGGTAAAATCGGCGAAGTTATGGCCAGGGAAACACCATCAGGAATGTGTGCGTTTTTTTCTGAGTGGCGGCCAATTTTGAGAGAGCATTACGTAGTCCTGCAACACCTACTAAGCATGGCTGGGGTGGGGCTCTCGCAAAGGGGGGGTTGGTAGCAGATGCTGCAGGGAGCCAAAGTGTCCCCCTAATGATGGGTAGGAAAACAGAAATACCAAGCTGGAAACAGCCGGGGGGATGGAGGAGGTCAGCTAAGGTTAGTCTGTGAGGTTGTTGCCATGGCAATGAATCTGAGTGAAATTGATATGACTGATGAAATGATGCTGTACATGGATTATAAAGTTAAATTGCATTAACTGAAAGCAAGCGCACACAAAAAAGCTTCTGCCAGATCTCAATAATACAGAAAAATAAACCTGCAACTAGGTCTAGGATATTAACGATGATCAGTGGAAGTGGGCCATATAAAATGAAATAACTAAACCGCATACGGTAACTTTAATTTATTGACCTCATTATGAAACTGACAGCGGAAAATTCAATGAGAAATGCCACAATACAGTCAGTTTTGAGGATTTTCAAACATTAATTGGAATTTTATCATTATGACAAATTAAAATTCTTATATTTTTTATGATAAACAAGAAAATAAATTCCCATGCCTAATGGCCAGAGTTTGTTTTAACTCAAGTTTTTAACTAATGCAATCATTAACACCAAGCGCTGACTGGATGGTCTAAAACTAAATAAATAAGTGGATTCATCATACCTGAGCCCTAGGCGGTGGTTAGAACACTCTTCAGAGCAGATGTTTTTACTGAGTCAAAGTTAGTCATTTTCATCACTAGTTATAAACACCTACGTTTACAACTGGTAGCAAAGACGAAGGAAGCCATTAAAATAACCGATTTAAAGTGACTGATCTCTTTCATAGTGTCACCTCTACTTCCAAAGTGAATAAATAGCTATCAATGTGCAAAGACTGATCTTTTATCTTCTAGTTCTATAAAATCTACCAGAAAGCTTATAAAAAAAACAAAAAAACAACAAATGTGGCTGATGGAAGCAGAAACAATTAATTTGATCTTTTTTTTTTGCAAAAGCAGATTAGTCCCAACACTTGAGTTATTTAAATATTTATCCCACATTGTATTTTTTACAAAAATTATAGACCCCTAAACATCAATATCAGCTGGTCAGATCTTTATGAAAAGTAAAGACTGGATGTAGGCCACAAAATCCTAAGAGGTGGAAGTAAGTGGTGCAGAATAAATTATTGAACATGGCCTTCGAATCAAAAATGCAACCCCTTAAGAGAACTGAAGCGAGGGCGCTAAGAGTTATTTCAGATAACAAGAAGCTCTAAAGATACATTCACAGGCCCTTCTACTATTATTCTGTAGCATTAAAGCAGGTGTTTCACATGTACCACCAGTTTGAGTTGGAAGCTCTAGGAGGAAATGGACAGGAAATATAATCTAAGAAAACTGGTCAAGAGACAAGCACTTCAGTTCCTCTGCTCAGTGTTTTCTACCTGTAAGCAATCTGGGTCAGCTACCTCTCACTCGCTCTCTTTCTGCTCTCTGTGTGTCAGGAACATGCATGTGCACCCTCGTGTGTGTGTATGTGCGTGTGTGTGTGTGTGGGCAGAAATGCTTGCACACATCAGAGTGGTTCAAAGTGGTTGGAGTTGGCTAAAAGAACGACTGATGGGAGACAATTTGTCTAACCATATGGCTACTGAACATCTCCTAATTTAACAATGCAGTTCCTTAGATACAATACCTATATTTAGAAAACTCCCTTTAGTGTGGTAAAAACTATACAAACAATTTTTGCAGATATCCATTTTATAACTTGCTTTACACAAGGCTACCTGGCAACATTCACAAATTCAGCTATTTTTTTTTACAGGCAGAGGGTGGAAGATAAAACAGAACATCTTTGCTGTGCTATTAAGCCTTCCTGTTATGTGATGAAAGTCTTACTCTCTCTCTCTCTCTTTCTCCCATTGGTGAAGAACAACATTTTCCTTGTAAGAAGAATCTTCTTCTTACAAGGAATGTTTTTTCTCATCCTGAGCTAATTTCTAACATATTGAGAATTCAATACAAGCAAGTAGTGTTTAACAAGGTGAATTCCTAGATTGGGAAAATATCAGATTTTTGAGTTCTGGTCAGCTGATCAAAGCCGAACAGCTGAAATCTCTACCATGGGGTTTTTCTTGACAGTTCAATGACAGTCATATGGTAAAACCATAACTTTCCACTGCAATACAGTATCACAAACAGTCCCTTCTTACTTATTTTTAAAGAAATTAAAACTAAGCACAGAATTTCACAACAATACATCTTCTTTTTCATGCTTTTGTCTCCAACCAGAAAACATGGCCAACATCACAACCACCATCCACCCAAGTAGTCTCCCTGAGGCCGTCCCTCTGTCCCGCGTCTCCTTACAGGTCCAAGAGGTCTACCCCTTCCATGATGGCTGGAATGTTGCCTGTTTCGTCATCCTTCTGCTTTTCATCCTCACCGTCCTCTCCCTGGCTGCCTTGGCTGTGCTCTATGAGCTACTTGACTGTGGGTGCTGCACTAAAGGGAAAACACACCACCAGCTACAGGAGGAAGGCCCAGGAAGCTGCAGCAAGCTCATGACCAATATCTGCAAGGAGCCAGAGTCCCACACCGAAGTGGTATAGAGGCAACAGAGATGGGCAAAGATGAATTTTGGGAATTTTTGGAAAAGAAAAAAGGACTGAAACTGTTAGACAGTAAGGAGTAATGAGACCTTCATTTTTGTTCTTTTTTTTATTTCAAACTGATTGTTTTTCTCTCCACCTACTTTAAGAATGTCTCGGAAAAATTGAAAGCATGAGAGCTGACAATTTTGCCTAAAACACTTCTTTCAAAGTAATAAAAAGAAAAAGCTTATTTGGTGGATAATTTTTCCAACTCAAAGGGTCCGTCTGGTTGCATGCCAAAATTATGGTGATGTTAATCATCATATCAGCTTTGGAAAGCAAGCGTGCTTTTTTTCCCCCCGTCACACATTACCTATATAAATAGCACTGCTTCTTTAGCTCAACACAAGCTTGGTAGCTGAACTGTCATTTACTTTATTGTGTCATTCCATATGCCTTACCACAAACTGCCTAACTCTCACTAAAGGATGTGGGCTTTGTAAATCACTGTTTAAAAACTGACTGTTGCTTGGCATGTAAATTGTGTGGGATTATTTTGTCGGAACTGTGTGTGTGTAAATAAAAGGGATCAATGATACAATTTGTAAGGTTTCCAATGGAAAGCTCCCATTCTTGTTGTGTAAAAAAAAAAAAAAAAAAAAAAAACTGATGTAAGCTTTCCAAAGCTTGCTGAGCCAATCTGTCTGCAACTCATATCTCATATATTTAGAGATCGTTTGCAACACAGTCTGTCAGAGCGTGTTATTGAAATGTAATGTCAAAGTCATTTTTCTCTTAATAAAGTCCCACTTCACAGAAAAGTGTGTCGCCATTACTTGGTGTCCAAAAAAAGAAAACTAAGAAAGAAAAGCAATGTCTCTCAGTCATGATGAAACATAAATTGAACTGCAGGCCTTGCAGCCAAATTGTTTACTGCAACAGCATCTTCTTCACAGGTCTCTAAAACGCCAGACAGCTGCAGCTGATCCAGAATGCCCACGTCCTCATCAAAAGTAAGAAAATAGAGCACATCACCCAAGTTCTAAAGTGGCTTCCTGTAACTTAAGAGAAAAGACTTTCAAATATTTTAGTTAATTTATAAATAAGTGAATGGCTTAATATGAAAATACTTTAAAAGACCTGTTGTCATATCAATCTTAGGTCCCCTGGCTTTAGTCTACTCTGCATTCGCAGAATCAGAACCAAACATGGAGAAGCATTATTGAGTTTTTATTCTCCTCTAATCTGGAACACTCTGCCAGAAAACTGCAAAAATGCTGAAACCATGATTTCCCTCATTGACCATCCTTTATTATGCCACTTTGTTCCTTGTCTTATGTTTTCATCATGTGAAGCAGTTTGAATTGCTTTGTTGATAAAATGTGCTGGTTGATAAAATGTGGTGTTCCAATGCAACATCCTGGTTCTAAGTGGTTGCTAAGCAACATTTTTCAATCTAAATGGCTCCAAAGCTGCCAGGACTGCTGGAGAAATCAGACAGAAGGAACACACAAGACTCTGTGTTACAAACTAATGGAGTTCTGTTTGACAACTCACTGTTTTGGACCATTGTGCAAAGCACTTCATGTTGTTATACCTACTAAAATATCTTACAATTTTTTCCTTTCAATTTGTATTTTTTTTTTTTACAAAAATCACAGGTGGCACAACTGTTAGTATCCAACTAAAATTTCTTTGAAACTCATGTATGTCAACCATTGTTTTAATTTAGAATTTTGTTATAAATATGAAAATAAATTACATGACAAAGAAACCTATTTTGGCTAAAGGTCATTAGGCTGAACACAGATGAATTTATGTCCTGCCACCACACACAGAGATAAGGATGACTGGAGAAATAGATATTTATCCAAGTTCACTGTTGCTGTGTAGAATCCGCAGAGAAACTGTCTGAGACAGTTGCAAGGAAAAAGCCCTAATGGGAATGTAAATTGGGCCTGTGGTCAGATGAGACTCAGACTGGAGAATGAAATAAAGGATGCATAAGTGGAAAACCAGTTTATGCGGACTGTTAAATACGGTAGAAGATCTGTGACGCCATGAGCTTGTTACTCTTCCAAAGAGTCTGGGATGAGTGAATTCCATCATTTCATTTTTTTTTTTAAATACCTAGACATTCAAAAAAATCTTACTAGCAAACTTAAAATGAGTTGCTATCAGATCTGTCAACATAATATCTAAGAGAAGTTGCCAAGAAAGCAAAGAGGAGGTTCATCAAACTTCTTCCATGACCATGCCAGTTCTGACATACAAATCTTTTAAAACAAAAAAAACATGTGACAAAAAGCAAGAAGACAGCAGAACAGACGGATGAAGATTGTGAATGATCTGCAGACTGTAGAAAGAAGAAACAGTCAAAGCTCCCTTCTCTTGTGCGTTCTCAACTTGTGAAATGTCATTGACTAATTACAGTCCTATTGCCAAGTGGACCACCGAGGATTTTCTTTAAAACAGTTTTTCTTAACATGGGATTTTTCATTGCAGCAGCATGTGAGCTACTGCAATGAAACACAAACTTATTTTAAGGCTTTTTACCAGAGGCGCCAATCAATGTATTCCCACTGCAATGTTTTCATTACAACTAAAGGTTCTGCAATGAAAGTGACCATAATCAGCTTATATTGAGTTTTTGTTCACCACTGGCCAACAAATGTGTCACTGAAAGAATCATATTAGATGGCAGAACAGAAAAGCTAGGAATAATAGCAGTCTTGTATTTCTAAAGTGTAAAATATAACCTTACAGCCCGATGGAGCATTTAGTATCCGTCAATCGCCTACACATGCAGGAATGGGAGTCTTTATTAATGTGGACGTGTATAATGTCACAGACATCCATCACAGAGATAATATGTTAAAAAAAAAACATTTAAGGCTAAGCAATGTCTTCCTTTCATGCTTTATTCAAAGAGTTGCTGATTAAATGAGATGTTTCACTTACCAGAGCTGTTTTTGGATCCAGAGGAGCTCTCCTTATCTACTTTGGGTTTCTTCTTCTTGTGAGATCCAGATTCTGATGCGGCTGGCCGCTTTTCTACAGCGGGCGTGGAAAGAGCTCTCTTTTGGAACAGCTCACGCTCTCTAAGCAGAGCTGGATCCATCCCGGCTGACATGAAAGAAGAAAACATGGACGTAGTGTAAGTGTTTTTGACGCAAAACAGATTTCAGGCAGAGGAACACAACAAATTTCAAATGACTGATTTGCTAAAACCCTGTTTTATTCCTCAACAAAGCCTGAGTGCTCCTTCCCCCAAAAGCTTTATTCTGACTAATTCATATTCAGAGATTGGTTACCAGGTTTATTTCTAATGATCTTACAAATATTGTTGGTTATTAGCTGCATCTTTATTCTAAGATGTTGCTGACCTGGAAGTCAAGACCATTCCCATTCCTAAAGAAATTGGCATTTCCCAGACAAATATTTTCTATGTGTTACTTCATATCTTAAACAACAGTGACTATAACATAGATCCAAACTTAGCTACTGAAAACTCAGTTGGCTTCATAAACTCATTGATCCATTTCTTTAGATTCCCTTGTCTAATTTAATACTGTGCAAAACGTAGGTGTTCCTGTATTAGTTTATGGCTCTAGTTCCATAGAAAAGGTATCAAATTTCAGACCACTTGTATCAATTCTCTGTCCTTAACCAGCAATATTGCCAATAAGTACATTTCAATTTGGGTTCAAAAATCAAATCCTTCAGATGAAGGATGATGCATGTTTCAGTTCATAAATGAGCTCTTTGCAGATTCCAACTGTCCAACTTGACCTCATTTTAGGCCCTGCCATCCACAGTTCAGATGCGTCTTTTTTTATTTTTTTATTATTCCACTGGCGAGCTACAATGCATTACAGATAACAAATTCACTACTTGTGAATAAGACAAAAGGTAGGTAAAGAACATATGAATTTATGTTAAAATGGTAACATGGCTAATTTTGTTGGGTTGTAAGTGTTTAACACACACCTCAGACAGATTATGCAAAGTCTATACAAACATTGTAGATTTGAATAACCTGAGGTACATCTCTGACCCTTTACACATCACATGTTCCCTCCATTCTCTCCAAATTTCAATTATTATTTACAACAAGTGGCAAAACACAGAACTATAACAACACAATGTATAGACTATTATACATTGGTCTATACAATGTTAAAGAAAACTTATACATTTTCAATTTGGTACATTAAACATATAACTAATAATAAGCAAGAATGTTGGATTTTTTTTGTCCTCATACATAATAAAGTTAACTAAAAATGAAATCTCATTTTTTTTAAAATCACAGCAGCTAAACGCATTTGTCAGAAAAGTCATTGTTGCAGGAGTAAAAAAAAAACATATACAATTACTGCAAAAACAGTGTGAAATTTACAACAGTCTTGCTTCTTAGAACTAAGTTACTGAAAAATAATGAGTGAGAAGGAGAGATATATTATTCTTCCTTGTTCCAAATAAGCAGGCTGAACAAAGCAGAGCCAAAAATAACAACTGAAATAATCAAATATGACGAAGTCAAAGGATTCAATTCTAAAGAGAAAGAAAATCACAAATGAAGCCCGTGTTAGCCGTGCTTTGCCTTGGAATCGAGTCATAATTTGGAAATACCCCCAGAGGTTTATTTAGATGAGAACTTTTTAGATGAGAACTTCCCCCAAAACATTTCTGATTAGCTAAAGAAAGAAAATAACATTAGTAGTTTGACAGGGCATATATTTTCCTAAGGTACAAACACAAAGGTATTGATCTAAAGAACTGATAGGAAAAACAAGGTAAGAGCTCGAACTGTAATAGCTGGTTGATTTAGCTAACGTTCGTCATCACTGCTGTATTACCTAAACAGTTAACTGATGCGATATCTTCCTAAACATTAGGAGACAGTTTAACATTCTAATTTAGACAGAAAAACAAACAGCAGAATGCAAAAAATAAATGTACTGTACTCTCGCTGTTAACCTAGCATTAGCACATGCAGTGTTAAGTCAGTACACGGTACCTGCCTTTTGCTTTGTCCTCCTGCAAATAAACTGGAGTTAGTCCAAAAGGACTAACTAATCAAAGTGCAAAGCCAAATTAATCTTCCAGTAAATCAGCGATTTTCCGCCTTTTCTAATGTGAAATAAGTTGATACCAGCTAGCTAGCTAGCTAACTAACTTCTAACAAATGTTTTCTCCTCACAGGACTTCCGCTTCTTGTTCGATGTATCGGTTTTCTACAGCTAATCATACACTACGTCACCACGCATTTTCCATTGGACGGAGAAAAACGTCTTGCGTATATTTTTTATCTGTCCAAAGCTTTCGGAAATATAAACTAGAAGTGGACTTGGTTACTTCGAAAGACATACCTAATAAATACTAACGTAAGATAAATGTCCATTAAAATTATTCACAATTCCAAAGGATTTTTGTTAATAATTTTTGAACCATTGTTTTTCCCCCTTTCTGAAAAAAAAAAAAAAAAAAAAAAACCGAAGAAAATATTGCTCATCTGTTTTGGGATTGGTGTTGTACAAGAATGTTCTGGAATACAATTGTTTTTAATCAAAAACAATTAGAAAATTAATTTAACAAACAGGGCTGTTTCATTTGTAATAGAAAAATATAATCTTAGCGATACCGAAGTTTGTTAACTTTTGTTATTGTTTACGGTAAATAAACTTGAAAACACTTATCCAAATATCTACAATAAAATCCCAATTCCCAAATTATCTTATCTTCAGTTAATGTCCCCTTAAAAGTCCTTAAAATTAAGTTTCAATTCTAAAGGAATTTACATAATACCTCCTATATTTCTCCCTTCCAAGATAAATACTTTGAGGTAACGTCTTCAGAGAGAGTGTTTCAACATTACCACCTAGTGGCGTAATGGCGTAATTTTGTCAGAACTGAATTTATTTATTTATTTATTTAAAATAAATTCTTGGAAACTTTCACAAAAAAGAACTTTAAATAAGCAGAAAAGTTTATTTATTTTTTTATTATTTTTATTTCTTTTTACATATTTTTTGTAAGCTAAAGTTGATTATTTTTTATGCAGAAAACAACATGATATAATGTCAATGTAATTAATCATCTGAGCATGAAGTATATATGTCCTAAAATATAGAGTGGATGTGACTGAACTGAATGCCATAGCCGTGTTTTGTGTTCAGGAGTACATTTACACAGTGTGTCCTGTTTCAAGAACAGGATAATAAACTCAAAACTTATAAAGTCTGTGTTGCCCCTTTCATTCCTTCTTGGAAACTGAACTGTTTACATGAAGGAGCGAACAACATCATTGAAATATAATAAAATATTACATCTCCACAGTATCAAAAAAAGAAGAAAAATATTTAAGATTATATCATCACAAGCCCCGTACTCTAAGGAAAGCCCCTAAAACCTTGTTGAATCTATGCTGCAAACAATGACGTTCTGAAAGCAGAAGGTGAAAATACTGCCGTGGAAGTCTACACTTTATTTTCTAGCATTGTTGTCTCTGCACATTAGTCACTAAAACACTAGTTTAGGAAACACAGTGACCTACTCTTTTCTGATGTAACAAACTTTGTGATGCTGATGAAATTATTGGACTTTTTATACTTATTCCCAGTCACTGCTATGACAGTTGTGTTCATCTGGGAAATGATGATAAAAGCCAGTGGAAAACCGAGTAAACCAAAACATTCCAACCTCTTTTTAATGCGTTTAAATAGACAGATGGTGTGTACAATACATCAGAGCATGTTCAACCATCTTGGCTTTGGAGCTGTATGCTTAGCCTTCACACATGCATCTTAACTCCTGCATGAAGCTCTTCCAATCCAAATTTTATCAACTATTTTTTCCCTTGGCTAAGGGCACATCCTTCCTTTTTAGGTAGAATTGCTTTAATCTCTTTGGGAAGGTGTAATAACGTGCAAACTGTCAAGTTTCAGTCTAAAACACCGTTTATGTCTGTTAAAAACCTTCAGTCTAACATTGGAACCCCTTTTGTGATGGATTGCTGTATATGTGGTGTTTTTCAGGGAATAGAGCTGTTGCAATACTGCTGGTATATTCGGACTACATCTCTCACTGACTGAGACCGGGCTTTACTGGCTGCAGATGGAAGGCGACTTCACCACTACGTAATCAGCAGAGAGAATGGGTGAGATAAAGCTACAGTCTAACCAGACTGCCAAGAAGAAGACAAAAAGACAGATAATCACATCAAAGCAGCAGTGTGTAGACCGTAAGTCTTATAACTGAGCTAGCTTTTAGATCAAGCTGAGTGAGAGAAATAGAAGACTTATTTCCAAAAAATGGTCTTTGCTTCAATCGAAAGAGCTTTTCTATGTAACCAAAAAGGCAAAAAGTTTATTATGTAAGATGCCTCAAGATTTTATCCAAGAACTGAGGAGGAACTTGCTTGAGCTTCCAGGCATAAATCCTCAGATGCTCACTTTAAATGTTTTCTTGCTTTATTTTTCACTTTGACTGGCTTGACATAATGTCAAAGAGTTTTCTTTGTGGATTCAATCGCTTTGTGAGGCAAAGTACGTCAACTCTTTTTTTTTTTCCCATTGAATTTGTGTCAGCTGTGTTTCTCGTTTAGTGGTCTGTCAGATTAAAGTGGCTGGAAGTGCTTTTCTCAACACTTTATTGATTCTAAGAAAGAACAATCATCTTATGTGTGGCACCTGGAGTGTGTAGGTGGTTTGATCGGATTTGATTGAAAAGGGTTTTGAAAGAACTATAAGTAAAAAAATTAATAAATAAATAAAAGGAAATATGTAAATTATTTCTCAAACCATATAAAAATGTACTTTTGATGGCAAGAATTCATGATATCAAGATGCACACCGCCCACAACTTATAGACATTCCAAAGTGTTTTGATAAGTAACTATAATGACCTTGGAGCATTTCGCCTGGGATGTTGTGTGGAAATACCTCTGTAATGATAAAGTTTAGTAAGGGTTTGCAGTTCAAGTCTTGACATCTGTGCTGGCACATCATTCTGAATGTCTTCTCATATACACATCATCTCTTATTCTCTACTGGAGCAACAACCTAGGGCATAGCAGGAAGTTTCTGGGAACTCAGCAGGACTTCGACAACACATCAATAATGAGTAATAAGGAAGACAGATGAGAGATACAGACGCTTTACTATCTAAGTCATCATGCTTTATCAATCTGATCACATGAGCATAGCTATTCTGTTGAAATTCCTGTTTTGTTCCTTTGTTTTTTGTCCAAATCACTTGTTTCTTTACCACTGCACTACTGGGCCTTTTTGAATGCACTGTTCCTGAGTACTTTTCCCCCTTTAAAAACCTTGTTTACTCTACAAACTTCTAGTTTTATTTAATAACTTACGTCTCAATTTCAAATTCAAATGTGACTTTTGAAAGATTTTTTTCATCTACTGTTCATTTATTCCACATCATTGCTGCAAAAATTCACAGCAAACAATGAAGCCGAGATGCACATTCGACACATACCGAAGCTTCCGCAAGCAATTTGCCGCCATCTAGCGGTCTGAGTGTGAATGACACCCACTTGGGATTTCACAGTTTGGTCTAGAACAGTGGTTCTTAACCTTTTTTGAGGTACCGAACCCACCAGTTTCATATGCGCATTCACTGAACCCTTCTGTAGTGAT